CCCCCAGCCTGTACTGTACAAGTGTGTGGGGGCAACGCAACTTTAACGGACAACGCGGCGTAGCGCGTTTGAGGACGCTCAGTTGGCCATGGGCAGGGGCACCTCGTGAATTTTTCTCACAAATAGCTCTGGCGCTTGAGACCGTCTCATGTCAGCGCTTAAACACTATGCGGCGGCTCCAGGCGAACCTCTCCCTCTCGTTTATCCCGCCCCCGCTGTTCTTCCAGTGATATGGCCGTCAATGGCCATCCATCGGGCTATGCATGCCGCTGCCTGAACGTACGAGTGCATCCAGCACTACCTCCAGGAGCTCGTCCCCCCACCGATACCGATTATGAGGCGGTTTATGTCGGCGAGGAGGGTATTACAGTGGTCAGTCAATGTCCGAGGCCTTTCTCACAAGCTCAATGTCTCATTATTTCAGGCCCATATCCAACTCACACTGAGGCACCGTACTCATCCGATACGGCATGTACTCAACGGCACGGAACAATGGACGCGATATGCTTGCGTAGTATGTCTGGTCTGCCAGTGTCTAGTCTACCGTGTGCATCAGACCATCCATCCAGAACTGGATGGCGGAGTGGGTCCTGTAATTCCGAGTGATGATTGGGCAGAGCACGATTTATTGAAGAGTTCCACGGGTTGGGTTGAGGTCTCCAAGAGCTGTTTGGTGTGTCTTATTTCAGCCTCTCCTGGGCGTCCTGGATGTCGCTGAGCTCTCCTGTCTCGCCTGCCTGCCGTTGCGGGTTTGGCTCGGTTCATTCGAGCTCGCGTCTATCCGGCGTTCCAGAATAAGTATCGTTCTGTGCTCTAATCACATATTTCTCTCCAGACTGTGGACGCCATATACCAAGCGCAGACCTCTCCATTATATTCCGAGCTTTTCAACCTTGTCCTCCCATCTGAGCCACCGTCATTTTCGCTCTCTATCCCGTGCTCGTCTGTTTCGCGAGGGACTGAGGTGGCGCAAGGGCATCTACCACCTATGCCCGCATTATTTCCCCCTCCGCCCTTTACACCAAGTCATCCAATCTTCGCCTATATATCTACCATTGCTGTAGCTGAGTCTGAAAAGCTCCGTCACGCGACAGAGCAGTATTTGGTCAATATTGCAGAAGAAAAAGCAGCGGAGATACGCGCGGCTGAAGTTGACCTCAGGAAGAAGGTCGAGTTACTATGGCTGAACTTCAAGGAAGGTCTGGGACAGATCCAACAGGATGGCATGAATGGTCGTTCGTCAAGTCGTCGGCCTAGTAATGCGAGATGGAACATGCCCGTGAGTCCTGGCCAGGAAGCAGCATCTGTACGAATAAATCATTTCATCCCCACCCCAAATGTCCAACCCAGGCCGTCATCATCAGCATCTCAGCATGTCGTATCCGCTCTTTCTGCATCGGTGGTTTCGACCTCGTTTCACTACCCCGAGGCATCGGAACGTCAGACTACAGACCCAGCTAGCCCACGTGTTGACCCTCACGCATCATCACCTAGCCGCTCTAGTGCCACTCGCGTTTCTACTTCTTCCGCTTCCTCCAGAACCCTTGCGATGGGCATCAATGGGGAATCAAGTAACATCCGTGACGCATACCGCCGAAATATGGACCAATCCGTGGACATCGCCACCAGTTTCAAGTATGTACTTGATCTGGAGGAGCAAACTAAGCCTCTACGCAAACGGCAGGCGGATCGTGTTAGTCCGGAGAGGGCCAATGGACATGCCAGTACTTCAGACATCAGCTCGCGTGATCCGCCCCCCAAGGCTGATGAGAGTGCAGTTGAGGCGTTGAAGAAGGAGAATGCTGTAGAAGAGGGAGCTCCTGTGGTTCAAGATGTTTCTGCGGACCAGACCAATGCGGGACCAAGTGGGAAGGAAGCAGGCTTAAAGAGCAAGAGGAAGGTCACGTTTGATGTGAAGCCCGACATCGCAATCATCGATGCTGATGCTACTCAAGAGAGTGACGACAAACCTCCAGAACAGGGTATGTTTGTTTTTGGTTTTGTGCGGACCAAGACGTAATCACGTTGAACATGCAAAATAGACGCAATTTTTGATATGGAGGGCGAGGAAGTCTCGAAGTCGGCGAACGTGGATGTGAATGCTACTCGCATAGCTGACGCGATGTCTCCGCCCGCACAGGAATTGGAGTTCTCTCGCCCCAGTGCGCGGCGTGGGCGCTCGAAGGTACAAGACAATTACGGTCTTCCATCTTCACTTGCCTCCTTGCGTCCGTCCTCACTACCCAACATGTCCATGCGTCCTCCTCGACACGGCGACATTGATGATCGTGTCGAGCCACATACAGACGTCGCGTCGCCCACGTTGCCTGAGACTCGAAGCAGCGGAAGAGATCGATATCAGAGCGCGGAAGACAGAGTTAATTCCCCGGACCCGAGAGAGGCTGAAATCCTGCGATTGGTCGCCGCCGGCACCCCCAGCCATCGACATGCCTGGAAAAGGGATAGCAAGGCTTGGCAATTGTTTGTCAATCGCCAGGATCGAAGAAGCAAAGAGCCTGGTCCCGTCGTGATCGAAGAGGAAGAAGAGGGTGATTCGGTCGTAGAGTATGACGGCCCGCGCTTGGGTCGATCTATGAGCGATTCTGGTGTCGAGATCGAGCGACGAGGTGCGCCTTCCAGTGTCCATTGTTGTTATGAAGCTAAAACCGCTGTGCAGATGCTGACTTGTCGTCGGACCCTACACTGCCTATAGCATCTTCCCTCCCAATCCCGATGATGAGGAATGGCAATGATTTCGGGCTCAGTTCTTACCAGCCAAAGACGTCCCTCACGGATCGTCCTGGCATGTTGGTTCCGGCACTTCGGCTATCGTCCTCCGTCGCGATGCGGCAGGCCGTCTATGCAGAGCGGGATCGGAATAAACCTATTGACCCCGGGGCGCTTGACTTTACCGATACGAACGAACTTGACGATGAGGAAGACGTTGATGACGAATATACGGGCTCGATCGGACGCCGACGAGCATTGCAGATCTTGAAGGCTCGCAGCAAGCTACCTGATGATGGTAAGGGATGTTCCCCCATCTTTCGCCCAGGTCACACTGACCCGTTGCTGTAGGCATGTGGAGAAGTTTAGCATGAAGGACAAAGCTAGGCCACTGACTCCTGACAATCATACATTAGGCTTGTCATAATCGTCTCACGCTGTTGTTGTAAACTTCTAGCCCTGTCCTCTACCAGTATTCACATGTAGTCTGCTCTGTATCTCTGCTCTGCAATGCTGTCCTGTACATATTGTATCGCTAATTGTGAGTCCCCAGCTGTGTCTGGTTGTACTATCGTGGTCTTATTGTGCGCACTTTTATGTTGTTTGTGTGTCCCTAACCATAATTTAAAGAGATTCTATCACGGTGTATGTCAAGCGAACATGGTTGAAGAATGCTCATTTTGCGGGTTTTACCGAAATTGTGATCGTACGGTGATTGCCCTAAGGTTGATTTCAATTCATGAACAAGTTGATTGCTTGGTCGAGTTCGTGTCATACCTCTTGTATTGAAGTTGCGCTTAATCATTCGTACTCACACATCCCAATAACAAAAAACTACAGTGGGAGTCATGGCGCGACCGTTCTCCTGCCAAGTCAAATCCGCCAGGAGTAAGTTCCCTACAAGCCCATACGCTGTACATTTATTATTTTCTCGCTGCACCTCAATGGCGAGCTACTCAAGCCGGACTCTGCGTACAGCCTCTGGGGTTTGTCGCGGTCCCCCCAGGATTGCACAACAGAATTTTGTCCACGCATTGCAATGATTAAGCGGCACAAAACACTCGAGATGCATAATTGGCGTTTGGACAAAAAGATACATGTTGACAACCGCCGGTCTACGACTGAGCGTATCGACGCACACTTCATACGGCCTCACTTCATTCGTCCATCGTCGACACTTAAGCCGTGGGCTTCCAGAAAGTGTTGTCACTGTCTTTGAAAACGCCAGCGACATAGTTATCGTCCTCGCCTATGAGAACATCAGTCAAGCATCTTTTCAAGGCACAATGGGACAAGGGCACTTACTGATGAACTGCGCAAGAGAAGAAGTGCCACATGAGTCATGATTGAGAGGCAGGCCCGAGAAATATTAACTACGTACCACACCGGTAATGCCGTCTTTCGTGTAAGTGTAGATCACCACACGTCCGTCATTTCCAGCATGTCCGCCGTATTGCGGGAACTGCTGAGCAGTGAACTGGGTGGGTCCGGGCGCTACCACAGAGGTGCCTCGAGTGTAGAATTTGCCCTTCCTTTGCATATTCTGAAGCAGGTTGATGGGATGGTTTTTATCAGGTTCTGATAATGTCAAGAAAGTCACCTATGAGAGGACGGGCAGTAAGACAACTAAGAATACTCACTGACGAAGTCAAAGGTCCCTTTGTGTACGAACTCTCGCTTGATTTTCTCAACTTTGATTATAATTGTCTGCTCGAACGACGGATGTAAATTTGTATCCGTTACTTCCAACGTTGCGTCGAAATCGGTAACGTGTTCGTCGTCGGCCTGGCTTATCTCGAGCGGAAGATTGAAGTTGAGGAGCTTCGTGGCTTCATGGCCATGAATGCCCAAAAGCAAGAGGGCGAGGTCGGCAGAGAGCTTGGTCATTGTGGAAAGCAAATAGATGAGAGAGTAACAGGAATTGCTGGGCAATCGTCGACTAGCTGACTTCGTTTTATACCCTTCAGCACCCCAGAGCGATGGTGATATCGGCATCACTGGCTGGAGACCTTCTAGGTGCTTGACGGCAGACTCGAACGTCACCGTAGTGAAGTTGCCTAAGGTATCACGGAAATGGAGGACGTACGTACGTTGGTACTTGGTTCCATGCCTTAGAAGGAATCACTCGTGAATGAAAAGAAGTTTTGGCAAGCTGGGCTACCTCTCTGAGCGTGGAGTATCATGCACCGACCCTGTGCTCGGGAGCCAATCGTCGTCTCGTTTCTACTCATCAGTAGTGTGCTGATTCGCAATTCAATGAACAAGCGCCAGCCTGGCGGCCTCGGCAGAGGGATCCGTTCTCCAAATTGAAAATACGAGTTCAGGACTGCTTCGTTGTGCTGTGAGCACATCCCAACGGCTTAATGAGCAGAATAGAGTGAGTGTGGCCAACAATGCGAGTGCGGGGAGTTGTCGTCGTTCTACATATTAGCCTGTATTGGGAAACATGGGGAAGGGCATCACAGACAACAAATGTCTGTTGACTGACATGAAGATCCTATTCTTGGTGTGAATGAGTCGACCTCGACTAGGACCCCTGTGGATAAACTCTGCTGAGTCTCCGTCTATGCTGCATTCTGCGAAGGTGTCGGGCGTATCTGATGTCCGACTCCAGAAGTTGCTTTATTATTTGACATTAGCAATACGGCTGGCACCATTGTAGTAGGAAATGTCGAATAGGGCCATGGGCTACGCTGAGGGAAGTACCATATCGACCAGGACTCCAATGAATAAGCTCTGCCGAGTCATATGCTGCATTCTGCGAAGGTGTCGGGCGTATCTGATGTCCGACTCCAGAAGTCACTTTATTATTTGACATTGCCAATACGGCTGGCACCGTTGTAGTAGATGTCGAATAGGGCCATGGGCTACGCTGAGAGAAGTATCAGGTGCTCACATTTTGAATATGGATGTCCAACACACTGGCAGGAAAACGGCATCGAATTCTGAGTGCTTCAATTTGAAGCATTGACTGCCAGATTGAACATTCAAGTTTGTGCGCCTGAAGTGCCAGACTTGGGCTTCAAACATGAGACTCACGGAGAATAGCAGTCCTCGCCCTCCACACAGTTTCCGTTGCGAATTTAGTTGGCGGAGACAGACGGCGAGTGGTTCACCACTTCAAGTTGGAGAAGGAATTGAGTCCGTTTCCACCTCCAGCAGCGATTGATCCACTTGCCGCGGGCTTGACCTTGGGTTTGAACGTTGAACTCCGCCGCCGCCGAGACGCTGCCGCCGGCAGCGCTTTAGAGAGTACGCACTCCGACGTAATAACTCCGCCGACTAATTGTCACATTCAGCGAGGGCCCCAGCTCACAGTATCCCCAGGCCTCCTAGCCCGTTATCAACGTTCTCGTTGCACGCTCAGGCTCGCTGTCTAGTGATACTGAGCCATAGCGGCTCTTTCGCATGTGACTGGCCGAGACGTGAATCTCCAAAAATAATCATTATGCACGAAAGCAAGATTACATGAACATATCATAACTTTTGTGGGCTGGTCGCACGCGAAACGCACCACCATCAAGCAGGATCCTGAAGGAATGTCTCCGCACCCGAGCCCGTCTCGACCCGCGTGACCACCTCCTCCACCTTGGACTCGTCCTTTTCAATGCCGACGTCGCTCTCGTGGCCGTCCGCCGTCTCGCTCACGCAGCGTGAGCACTCGCATTTGAACCGCCAGCCCCGCGCGAGCTCAACTCGGCGACGCCGCCTCGCCTCCACAGGCGTCTCCTCTGTATGCTGGCTGATGTCGACGTACGCCATTGTGATCTCATCGCCCTCTTTGAGCGGGCGAGTTGCGATGAGCGTCAGCTCCGAAGTGCCAGAGCTGAACGAAGGCCGGGCGGACGGATCGCAAGAGTGTGCAATCTGTAACGACCGTTAGCCCTCGTACAGCGATCACCCCAACAAGCACTCACATAGGAAGAGACGAGATACAGCCCAGAACCGATCTGTCGCGATGTCCCGTAAGGTGTACGCGTATGTTCTTGGTCCTCCGGCCGCTCCGTCGGGGTTGGCTGCGGCGACAGTGTAAGAAGGCGAGCAGAATCAATACGAGTTAACTACATACCTTGTCGTCCCTCCCGCCAGAATAACATACACCAATCGCGTTGTACGCCATTTTGCCCTGGTAAACCGCATGCCTCTCTTCCGTCAAGGACTTCTCCAGACCGGGCAACGCAGCCCCCAGAACGTCGCAGAGCAGCGACGTCCCTTCTTCATTCGCCTTGCCCTCGACGAAACGTAGCCGCTCCAGGTGATCGTATAGGCTGTACTCGCTCGCAGAAGCCGCCGTCAGCTCGTCTGCGAGCGGGCCCGTCTTGACTGGCATCATCTTCGCCGTCTCGATCACCACCTGCTTCGCGACGAAGCGTGCCGCGAGCAGCGGCACCGACCTGCCTCCGGACTTGAGATGTGCTGCATACTTGGCCTGCGCCGCGTCGCGCTGGGGCCGCGTTAGCAAGGACATACCCTTGTCCAGCTCAGCGGGCAGCACGGGCTCCAGTCCGAAGAGCAGATTCTGCGACTCGACCTTTGCTTTGACCTGACAATCCTTCGAACAGTATACGGACCCGAGACGGTCCTGGTCTGGCCGGATCGCCATGCCCTTCTGGATATGCCGCAGACAGTGTGAGCAGTACGCCTCCTTCCCTTGGAGATCGGCGTCGAGCACTGCAACTACCGGTTGTTCCTGCGTACAAAGCATAAGTGAACGCTGCTACACGACGCACGCAAAAAGGGAGCAGGACCTTGTAGATGACATCTCCCGCTTCGAAGTTTCTCGTCACGACGAGGACCTTGCGTACTTTCGTAGGGTCACTGGGCGCGGGGAGCACCGATACGTTCATACTCTTAGGCGGGAACGCCTCGTAGTAACCTAAGATTCGCCACCACGCCAGCAGCTCAGCTTACGTTTCTTATGCTCTCAACCCGAGCGGACGAGCTCACCTTCGACGCGCGCCTTCACCTATCAGCGAAGCATGGTATATGAAAAGCAAGAGCATTTGTGTATTAGATAGGGTGTGCAAGATCAAACAAAGCAAGACGGAAGCTAAGCACGAAGCGCAAATTTTGGGACGTTCGACTACACGCAGTGAGATGGCAGCCCGCTCACACCGCCGGGGTCTGGCTACCAGGGTCTGTGAGCCGGTCCCACTCTTGCGAAGATGTCTCCGATGGGGGACCTGTCCTCACCGGACTAGTCTCATCCTCCTCTGAAGCCTCACTATGCGTCCGCGCGCTCCTCTCCGGGGGGGATGAAGGGGTACTCACGTCCAAGTTCGTCAATTCCATCACAATCTGTTGACGTGTCAGTACGGGCGACGGCCTCTGCGAAGGAAACAGACCTTGAACACGGGAGGTGGCACGGTGGACTGGTATATGGCGATAAGCTCTACGGGTGAGGGATACACCCTCAGTGCCCTGTAGAACGATAGGGCTGCAGGCATGTGGAACATGGGCCCTATCGAGCAGACATAAGACATAACACTGAGGACATATTGGGCTAGAGAACGAACCTTGGGCGCACAACTGCTCGCCCATGCCTACCTGGGCCATGAAGTACTGCTCCTTGGCCTCTGCGGACGCAGGGACGTCCTCGCTCCGGACCCTGGCCAGCGCAGCACGCAGCTCCTCTATGGTGGCACCATCACTAGGCTCCTGAGTCTGCGCCGTCTGCTTGGTGACGCGCTTCCTGTCCTTTTCTGATACGGGGCGCTGTTAGAGTGGTGGGGGGACAAAGGGAGACGACTCACTCAGCTGCTTGCGGAACTCGGTGTCGTTTCTGCGTTTGTAGTCGAAGTAGACGGCGTAGGCGACGAGGCCGCCGAGGACGGTGACGCTGGCGAGGGTGAAGATGGCGGACGTCCTGGAAGACATGATGGCCGTCCTGGGGAAAGTTTCCAGCAGAGGTCGTGCTGTCGGCGTGCGCAACAGCGGCAACCGCCGATACGCGTCAGGCCGGTGGCCACAGGCGCGTC